GAGCCATAAAGCAGGTGACAGCTTGGGGGAGATGGTCAACAATAATGGTAGCAGCGAGTTATGAACGAACGATTTTAAAAAGTTAAGACATTTAAAAGGTAGTACAATAATGGTAGCAGCGAGTTATGAACGATTTTAAAAAGTTAAGACATTTAAAAGGTAGGCAGACATGCAAGAGACAACAATTGTGACATAGGATAGTGTGTGGCAGTTAGAGAACGAGGCTGGCGATTGTCAACTGGTAATTGACAAACATTTGTGACAGAAAACAACACTTTATAAAAAAAATAGTATATTCGAAAATTGGCCAAATCCAATAACATTCAATGGCATTAAAAACAAAATAAAAAATAAATTTTTAAAAGGAAAAATTACGTACATAACAACCAACTCTTATGGATTTACCTATCTCACGCCCAAACTTCCATTTTTACACACATATCACTTTACCTGTAAATGAAAAAATTAATTTGACTATTAAAAGATGATAATGAGTGCTAATTTTGATAATATACTTGTAACTATGAAAATTTAGATGTAAATATAAAAATTTAAGATGTTATGCATGTAAAACACTCTTTTTAAAACCTTTTTTTTTTCAATACATCCAATTAAACACTTGTAGTTTTAAGAACTCTTGGGGAAAGAAATCCAACGCAATTGGTTCAGTTATTCTGTAGCCATCGCAGGGATGGCTCCTCCTCACCGCCTCTAGCTTCAAAACGCCGTCTCCTCCCTTATGTTCACTTCCTTCTCTTTCTCCCTCGTCCCCTACGCCGTAAGTTATCCCTAATCCCGCTTCCGCGGCTATTGTTCTTCCTCCTCAACGGCATCGATGCTCTCACCGGCGCTCTGAAGTCCGGCGGAGATCTATGGTTGCGGCGGCGCAGCTTGGCGTACTGGCCGCCTGCGTCGTCCTCTTCGTCCCTATGGGTTTGGCCGGATGGCACCTCAGCCGCAACAAGATGCTTTTTTTTAGCGGCGCACTCTTTATCACTCTCGCCGTCGGCGTGCACATTGCTCCGTACTTCCCCGTCGCCTCCCAATTTCTTATATCTACCCTTACACCCTCTTTTTCTTCTTCTCCGCCCTTTCGGCCATTTTCCTGCTTCTCCTTCCTGCACGATGTCTCCTTCCTCCCTCTGGACTCCCCATCCACCTTTGATTGGTTCCCTGCCAGATCGCGATCCGCTGATTGTCGTTTCCAGAAACTCTCCCGATCTGAAACCGGCGAACTTCTTAACGGATCATGGATCCTCGTTGCGGGGGACTCACAAGCTCGCCTATTAGTCCTTGCCCTTCTCCGCCTGCTTCTGGACCGCTCTGCCATGGAGGCTGTGGAAGTGGATCTTTTCCGCCGACACAGTGACTATCACACTGTGATCTCTGAGCTTGGCATGAAGCTAGATTTTGTGTGGTCGCCGTTCGAGTCCAATATCACCTCCTTGCTACAGAGGCTCCGTGGCGGCCCCAGGTTGCCTGAGGTTCTTGTTGCTGGTTCGGGTCTCTGGCACATGCTTCATGTTAACAATGCATCGGATTATGGCGAGAGTTTGGCCTCTGTGCGTAAGTCGGCAGCATCAATTGTTCCTCCCTTCTCTTCAGGGTTAGCCATGCAGCCACCACATATGTTCTGGCTTGGCATGCCAACATTGTTGAATCCAATGCTTAATACTGAAGAGAAGAAGGTGAAGATGAGCAGGATAATCTGGGAGGCTTATGATCAGGAGGTTGATGACAGTGGCGTGTTGAGGTCATCTGGTGGATCATTTGTGTTGCTGGATATTGGTTCATTGAGCCATAACTGTGGGCAGCAGTGCACAACTGATGGAATGCATTATGGAGGGGTTGTCTATGAGGCAGCCCTTCAAGTTATGCTTAATGCTTTGTTGATCGAATCTCAGCAGCGGATTTGAATTGCAAAAGAGGTTTTCCCTTTTACATCTGATTATCTGTTAGTCCTCATGTTTCATTAACATTGCATTAATTTTTGCATGGTTGGTCAAAATTTATACAAATGTCTAGTTAGGTATTATTACGGAACAATGCATTGTATCCTATATTTACTTCAAAATAATTATTGTAATTTGTAATTGCAGTCAGTTGGAAGTTATGAGATGTTGATCTGTTCTTTGTGATATATATTTTTAGAAGATACATATTGCCTGGTAAATATGTGGAATTGCCCATGAAGAACTTGAATATTACACATGACGGTTGTTTAGCTGGATGTATGCACCTTTAGTGGGACTAGAAAAGCATTTTTTGCAACGTTAATGAGCTAGTGAGCTACTGCTCATTCTAGTTTTAAAAACATTTGGTGGATTTAATAATTAATTGAAGGTAATTGCAAGAGTGCAACCATTCTATTATTGTCTTAATTTTTTACATGTTTAGCATGTTTTTACTTGCACTAAAGTATGCTCTAATTAGAAGCCGTGCAAATGACAGTTGACTTTTTTTAGCTTTTGTGGGCTTCTTGCTAGAGATGCCATGGCTGCTTATGGCGAATCTGTTGAAACCTTGATAGAATGTTGGTAGCCTCTTACAGTGAATTCATGTAATAACCAAATAGTTGGATAGTTGGTTCTCAACTTAAAACGCCAAAAATTGATCCTTTTTTTATAAAATTGTTCCATCTATTTGTTTTTTGGTTGAAACCACAAGGAAGAGCTATTTTTTTTTGTTGACAGGAGTTGTTGGGAAGAATGCAGATCAATTATTGAAATGAAAGTTAAACAATGCCTAACTTGATTATGATTTGATACTACTAATTTGATATTTTTCACATTCCCTTATTTCCTTTTCCACAAGTTCCTTACATGCAAATAGAGATTCACATGAAATCAAGAAACTATAAGTGTTGAATAATTATTATTGATATGCACATCTTTATGTGTTCCAAAGTATGGCTTCCTTTTCAAGTTATTATTACTTTGAATTTTGTGGTATGAATTAATTGTAGAAATCCTCTATTTTAAAATGGGTGGTCATTCCATTGTGCAAAGCTAGCACTACTCCAATCTTAATTGTACTCCCCATCCCACATCTCAGTGAGCAAGTTCTTGTTGTATCTCAACCTTCCCTAGCTTTGGTGACTCTGGTGTTACTTTTCATCTCACATCAAATTCAACTTAGCTTCATCAACCTACATATATGGGTATTCAACAGGTACTCCTTGCAAATAGCTAATTTTTTCTTTTTTTTTAAATATTAGCGAAGTAATTTTTCCTACTCCTTCAGGAAAGTTACTTCTTCCTTGCTATCTTCATGTTCCAAATCTATCTCACATTCTACTTTTTATGCATAAGCTCATTAATGACAATAAATGTTCCTTATCCTTTGATGCATTTAATTATAGTATTAAAGACTTGAAAACCAATCAATCCATTGTCTAAGCACCTTGTCTCAATGGTCTTTGTTTGCTTTCTGCTGAACACCCCATTTCATGTCCATTGCCAACAATTTTCTATGTTCTTTCAATCGTTTTCATTTGCAGTGTGCATTGTCGTCTTTGTCAGACCTTTTTTTCATTCAAAATGTCATTCACTTTGTTTTTTCCATTATTTTGGTAACTTATGTCACCATCAAAGATTTTGAGACTTCCATTTTTTGAAATCCAAACCTGCTTGAAGTGGTGCTTGGGGACCCTCTCCAATTATTTCTACTTAAGGTTATCGATAGGTTGTTTTTTTTTTGTTTTTGTTGATTAATTCTCTCAAATTATTGGGTGTTTCCAAAGAAGCAAAAGTCTAAAACAAATGAAAAGTTTGTTTGCTTCAAAAATGTTATTGAAAAACAATTACAAATAGTTACTTTTGATTGTTGGGGTATAATTTTGTTTTCTGATTGTGAGAGAGATTATAATAATAAATTTCACCAAATAATTATCTTGAAATAAGGCATTCAACATCTATATAGTTGTCCTTATTATTTCCAATCAAAATTGTATTTGTTGAATGCAAACATTTACATATTATGGAAACCATTGGAATCGTACTTGTTGAAGTTGGGCTTCTTCCTCAACTCTGGGTGGTTACTTTTTTTACTGTTATGTATCTCATCAACCTCTTGTTCTCCAAATGACAGTTATAATCCCCATGTTAGCTTTTACAACAAATCATTATAGCACTTGTACCTTTGTATCCTTAATTGCATGTAGTATCCCTAGTTATGGCCTCAATCTCCATGTAATCTTGTTACCAAATTCACTTTTTTGGATGTCATAGCTCAGCGTCTAGTTTGATGAATCCAACCTTTTTTATCTCTATTCTTCATCTCCTTGTGCTATTCCCCCGTAGTCATGTTTTGGTTTCCCATCACAATATTTCTCCTTCTAAATAGTTCGCTGCCACTTTTATGCTGTCTATTCCAATGACATTATCTTCAATTATTCCTAGTCATAATTAACTCGATGTCTCATTACTCTCTTCATATCAGCTATTTGATTCACCATAACTTCCTCCTAAACCTCTTCATCAACGAAATTCCATAATTACTATGCAAATGTATTATTTATTACCCACTCCTGTTGTAGATAATCCTCACTCTCCTCTTGTCTATCATTGGAGTCAAATATAATAGAGAAAGGTCATATCTCATGAATTTATGCTTTACATTAGCAAGAAACTTTGGTTCTTGTTCCAGCCAATCCTCAGTAGAATGTTTTTCACAGTAATTGAATTTTCAAAGCAAAATTACATATTAATGGAACTATTTTTTTTATTATAAAGAAGGCATTGCAATTAAATATATTCAATATTTTTTTTTTCACAATAAAATTGATGAAACTATTGACATGACAACCTTGACGATTCAAAGATCCTTAAGATTCTCATTATGTCTGTCCTTTTAAGATAGCCATGTAAGCTCTCGTTCGAGCTCATCGCTAGTGGTATGTCACTTTCTAATTATCTACAATAGCTTGATTTTAACAGTAGTTCCACTGATCCATCACTCTCAACATGTTCAAATTTATGTGCTCATCTATATTGATGGGTTGTTGATGATATCCTTCGCGTGGATAAGACGAGAGAAAAAGCCCATGAAATACTTGAATTATGGAGGTCTACATTAGAGTCTAAAGGCCTTCATTTGAGTAGAACTAAAACTGAATACGTTGAATGTAATTTTAGCAGTAGTAGCTCTAGTGACAAGTGTAACTTTGGGTAATCAAATTATTAAAAGGTGTGAACGGTTTAGATATGTCGGGTCTGTTGTTCAAAGTGATGGTGATATAGATGGGGATGTTAATAGTAGAATTCAAGTTGGTTGGTTGAAGTGGAGATATTCTTCGGGACTTTTGTGTGATAGAAAAGTACCACTTAGACTGAAAAAAAAAAAATTTATAAGATGATGGTGAGTCCTGCAGTGCTTTAGGGTGCAGAATATTGGCCTTTAAAAGTGAAACATAAAACAAAGTTAAGAGTCTGTTTGGGGTAGTTGCAGTTTATCCAACTTCTGCTGATAAGCAACTTATCCTGATAATCTGCTGATGAGCAGCTGATCTGGATAAGCTGGCTAGTTGTTTGGTTTGTGCTTTTGGAAAACAACTGATTCTGGATAAATGATCATTTTGCCCCTGTTTTGGATAAGCTGTTTAGCTGTTTGGTTTGTGCGTTTTAGATAATAAGCTTATTTGCATATTTTTTTAGTTGAATCAAACTTATTGTATAAAAAATGATCTTAATTTTTTAGAACTTAATGAAAATATGACACTAAATAGGACGCAATCGCAAAAAATGATTCATGTAGCCGATCCCACGTAGTGATATTAAGGCTTTGTTTTTGTTGTTGTTGTTGTATCTATATTGATGGCATACTACTTACAAACAACAATCAAGGCGCCCCCTCAGCTCTAGTTCACATTCTACATCAATGATTCAATACAAAGAATTTGATCTCTATGCCATATTTTCTTAACATTCAAGTTGTCCTGGTTTATTTATAAGTTCTTCTCAATCAAACCAAATATGTGCAAAAAATATTACAAAAAGCTTGTAGGACAGAATACAATTTTAGGTACAATCCTCTTTCTTCTAAACTCTTGACAGATAATGCCTCCCACAAGCCATTTATGGATCCGGCACTCTATCAATATTTGGCTGGTTTGCTTCAATATCTTACCCTCTTCCATCTAGATGTATCTTTTGTAGTTAACAATGTATGCCAACAAATGCATCAACCCTTATAGTGTTAGTCAATTTTTTGGAAGCATTTTATTCTATATCAACAACACTGTCTTTTAATACAAAGAGGAGAGTTGAATCTTTATGCATACTTGGACTTAGATTGGGCTGCTGTTTTGAGGATAGAAAGTCCACCGTCAAATAGTCTGTGTTTCTTGGTTGCACTCTTATTTTCTTGTGTTATAAAACAATCTGCTATTGCTTTGCCACATGCTAAAGAAAAATACCATGCTCTTGCCATTGTTACCACTGATATAATTAGACTTCATTGTCTACTTCAAGACTTTTTACTGTCCACAGATACTGCCGATCTATTGTATTATGATAACTTTTTTGCTATGGCTATTGCTAACATTTTGGCTTGTCATGCTCAAAAAACAAACATATTGAAATAAACTATATTTATGAATGCATGCTTTCAAAGGCGATTATTGTACATCACACCTCTCTCATGATCACCTTACCTACATCTTTACCAAAGCCCCCACTGCAAAATGCTTTGTATTTTATTGTGATAACTTGAGGGGAGGTGATGATCACATGAATTAAGCACTTATATGTGATTCTCAACCGCAGCCACTTCTTCTTTCAACTGATTTTTACCATCCCATCAAAACAACTAAAACAATCTCTACCCTGGTTGAAAATCGATTATATTGGATTACCATTGGCATTATAATCAAGATGTAGATGTATTCTTCTATATATTAATGTAGTTATATCTGCATAATAATTGAAGG